CATTTTTTTATTCCAGATGAATTTTTGGAAAGTTTGTTTTAGGTCTGTGAAAGATGCCGTTGGTATTTTAATGGGGAGTGCATTGAATCTATAGATTGCTTTGAGTAGTATGGACATTTTGATGATGTTGATTCTACCAATCCACGAACATGGTATGTTCTTCCATCTGTTTATGTCTTCCTCTATCTCTTTTTTTCAGTGTCCTGTAGTTTTCTGCGTATAGGTCTTTTACCTCCTTAGTTAGGTTTATTCCTAGGTATCTTAATTTTTTGGTGCAATGGTAAATGGGATTGCTTTTTTAGTCTCTCTTTCTGTAAGTTCACTATTGGTGTATAGAAATGCCATAGATTTCTTGGTGTTAATTTTGTATCCTGCTACATTGCCGAATTCATTTATTAAGTCTAATAATTTTTTGATGGAGTCTTTAGGGTTTTCTATGTACAATATCATGTCATCTGCGAATAAGGACTCTAATGCAGTGGTTCTCTACCTTCTGGCCCTTTAAATACAGTTCCTCATGTGACCCCAACCATAAAATTATTTTCGTTGCTACTTCATAACTTTAATGTTGCTACTGTTATGAATCGTAATGTAGATATCTGATATGCAGTATGGTCTTAGGTGACCCCTGTGAAAGGGTTGTTTGACCGCCAAAGGGGTCGCGACCCACAGGTTGAGAACCGCTGGTAATGTTTCAAATAAATTTCTTATCTCTGATTCATTTATCTCTTCTTGAAAATTCTCTTGTTCTTTCATTTGGGGGTTGTTTCTTTGTCACCTCATTTTGGCTGTCTGTTTGGGTTTGTGACTATTTATTAGGTAGATCCTCTACATCTCTCAATCTCTAGTGCAGCACAGTGTCAAATGCTGTTTCTGGCTAATTAGATCAGGCAAAGACTCAAAGCCTCCAGAGACCGGCTCTGCCTACAGACTGATAGGATTTTGATTTGAATTGCCCCCAGGCAATTGTCCTCAGTTTTGAGAGTGTTTTTTTTTTTCAACAGGGTGGAGCAGTTGCTTCTTCCTGGAGGCTAATTGTTATTTTCAGTCTCTTAAGTGGCCTCAGGGCAAGGTGTTTTCCAATAGGGTGGGTCAACTGTCTCCCCTCCCCGCCCCCACAAGCAGGGCAAATGTTTGTGTGGGAAAGATGTTCTCTGTTTCATGAGGTGATGACTCAGTACAGGAAACTGGTAATCTCTGCCTTCTGAGCTCTAACCCCTGAGTCCCCAATTGTGGTGTCTGCTCACATAGCTCCAGTCCACCCTGCCCTCCCTCTGCCTAAGCACAAGGTGGGTGGCTCCACAGGGAATTTTGTGCATTTTAAGAGGGTGCCTAAATTTTCAGTCGTTGCTCCCTGGCAGGCAGCAACCCCACTGCTTTTCACAGCCAGATGTTATGTGGGTACCCTTCTTAATTTTAGTGCTCTCTGCTGGGGGGCCCAGCTTGGTGATTAGATCCCAGAGTTCTCAGTGGCTTCCTCCACAGCTGAAATATCTCTCCAGAACTTCAGCTGTTGTCTATGGGTGCCCAACCAGCCCTTTCACCCTTCTGCCCCTCCTACCAGTCTCTATGCAGTCTCTATTTTTGGTTCCTGGGTATCAGGGTTCTCTTCTGCGAGTCTTCAGTTGATTATTCATGAAGTTTTTCTGTATTTTAGTTGTAATTCCAGTCTATTCTTGGGAGCATGTCCATGCAGCCTATTTTCTCTAATTCTTAATGGATCATGCATATATTAAGTAATTTTTGTTTTCTATCTCTTTCCAGTTGATCCTGATTTTTTAAAATCATTTTTATTAATCCACGAATCTTGTAAAGCATATGGTGCTACACCAAGCCGATATATGACCTTCTTACATGTATATTCTGCCATTAGTAGCAGCAAGAAAAAGGAATTATTAAAAAGGCAAAGTCATTTACAGGTATAATATTGGTAATCTTGAATTATCTATAAGAACAACAATCCTTGTTTTCTGTCATATATATTTAATACAAGTAAACATTTTACTATATTAAATGCCTTGTTTGTATTGCCCACTAAATTGTAGTAATGTTTTTATATTTTTTGATTCAATAATTATTCCTCTTCTTAACTGTATGGTATTTTTGTGGCATTATAGCTTATGTTGCTGTCATTAAAAGTCCCTATCACATGAAAGCATTTTAAAAAATTCTGAAGTACCTATTATTGATTAAAACATAGCCATGATTATGCTTTATAATAAACATTCAAATTATATTTTATATAAAACATTCTAGCCATGTCACTCAGTGCTTTCTGAATATTTTCCTCTTTTATAATTTTAGAGCTTAAGCAAAATGTGGCATTAAAATGCAAGCTTCAGAAGTTGTCAGCATTTTCTTTTTAAAGTTTTAGCTTCTCTTTGTTAGTGTAATAAACTAGAATTTATCTTAATTATAGTATCTTTATCCATTTTTCTAATGATTAATTTTTATTTATTTTAAGCCACTAACTGTACATGCTTTGAGAGGGTTAATTTCTTGATTTAGTTCTCTAGGCTCCTGTGGATAAATCACTTAAGCTTGCTGAGTTGCAGCTTCGTTGGGTCAGTGGTTGTTGTGTGTGTGTGTATTAGATAAAGGATATATTTAAAGAACCAGTACAATGCCTGTCCTCTATATTGGGGACTAATAAATATTGGTTACATTCCTTTTTTGCCATTACTATCTGTCTAAATTTTCTCACAAACACCCAAGTCATAGAAAAGAGGTAATACTTTTCATGTCTATTCCTTGGATAGTTCATGGGCAGTGGGATACCATAATTGCCAGGCCAGAGTCAAATGATCACCCAAAGAATTGGCAAGGATTTTGAAGAATAACCCACCAGAACCACATGTGAGGCAGTGTCTTATAAAAAATATAGGTATTAGACAGACAAGTCCAAATGTTCAGTATACAAAAAATGGCCCATGAATTCTTTTACCACCATCTATGAGACTGAAAATGGGAAAGATTTGCTGAATTTTTTCTTGCTTTCTATTTTCTTTCTCATCTACTACAGTAGATAAAAACCTCGTGCTTAAGCTATCAAATATGTGTTGATCTGTTTAGCTTTATTGTGATGCTTTAAGAATCTGTTTTTTAAGCCTCTTTGGAGCCTTTTACTATATCTTAATGGTTATACAATTGAATAAATCAGTATAATTTGCAATTAAAAAAAACTAAGTTTACTTGTGAATGTTTTATATGTGCACATTTGCATTATTGCTTGAGATTATAGGCTGTGTGTGTCTGAAATTTCTTTTAAAAAACATTGCCAATCAATATTTTATTAATATAGGCTGGTGTATCTAAACTAAATGAAGCTAAAGCTCTTGTGGATGAACTGAACAGAAAAGCTGGAGAACAAAGTGTGTTACTTAAAACTAAGCAAGATGAGGCGGACGCTGCCCTTCAGGAGATCACAGTATCAATGCAGGTGATGTTCAGAGAGAGAGGGATGCAAGCAATAGGGAGCCATTCATACCTGATTGTTCATCAGTGTGAGAAATACCCTTTTTACTTAAGTGACTTAAAAACACTGTTTGTCTATGCTGAGTCTGACTAATAGCATTGTGTGCTTGAGCTTTTGTAAAAGAACATGGTATTTTCACATTGTTTTAAATCTTAACTATTTTCTCCTCAATTCATCATATAATAATTTATCTATAACCCATAAATGTAAAAATATAAACATTTTACATTTGTATAGATTTGTCTATGAGCAATTTTATTTGTTTACCCTCTGCTAGTTAAGTTGATATTTTATTTTATTTTTACAAAAACTGGTCTCTCTCTCTCTTTCTCTCTCTCTCTCTCTCTCTCTCTCTCCCCCCCTCTCTCTCTCTCTCATCAATGAACATATCCTTAGGTAAGTATTTTTTTAAAAAGCTATCTTCGTTAGGCTTCATGGGTTTTCCCTGTCTTTATATTCTCAGTATTTATAAAATAAGTCTTTATTCATTCTATTTATATTTTCATGATCTTTTAATATTTTAATTGTATTCCCTTTTGTCATTGCCTTTCTTTGTTAAACCCTTTCAAATATTTCTTTTACTTTTTTTTTTCATTCCTTTACAACCATCTACACAAATATTTCTTTTTTTGTCCAGGTATTCTTTTATGTCTTCATATCCTCTCATGATGCTCTCGTACATTACCTTTTTGGTTCCTCCTTTCTTTTCAATCCTCACCTGAGGGCATATTGATTTTTACTGAGAGAGAGAGAGAGAGAGAGAGAGAGAGAGAGAGAGAGAGAGAAAGAAAGAAAGATAGAAAGAAAGAAAGAAATAGAGAGAGAAACACACTGATTGGTTGCCTTCCTTATGTACCCCGACCTGGGATTGAACCCGCAACCTAGGTATGTGCTCTGAGTGGTAATTGAGCTGCAACATTTTGGTGTACAGGATGACACTTCAACCAACTGACCCACTAGCCAGGGCACACTCAAAGCTATTTTAACTCTTGATCCTTTGAAGTGAACTGTTTTTTCTCTCCCTTGAAATCTTTTAAATCTTTGTTTTGCTTGCTCTGAACGTTATGACCTCTGCCTTGGTTTAGGTTTATTTTCATTCAATGTGTCAGATACCATGTGGGTTCTACCCACCTGAAAACGTATGGGTAATTTCCTTAAATTCGTTGATAATTCCTTTTCCTTCATTTCTCTGTTCTTGCTTTTTAGAATATTTATTATTTTGTCTTGGAGCTTCCTGGTCTAGCTCTGTAATTTTCTTGTTTTCTAACCTGTTTTCTTCTCTATAGTTTTGCTTTAATTTCTTCAGAATTTCCTCAACTTTATTTTCTAATTCTCCTACTGAATTTTTCATTTCTGCTGTTATATTATTTTTCAGGAAGTTTTTTTTAAACCTCTAAATGTTCCCTTTTGGGAGTGTTCTTTTTTTTTTGTTTCAGTGTAGCAGTATCTCTACTTAGCTCTCAGAGGATATTTTATGAAATTTCCTTTTTCTCAAGTATAGTATATTTTATTTTGTCTTCTCACTATTCACAAAAGGGGCTTCCTTTTTGTCTGGTCATCTTCATTGGAAATCCGAATATGGGAAGGGGACTTACATATTGTGAGCTCTAAAAGAGAGTTGTCTGGACTGATTCAAATGACATAATGAAAGGGATAGTTCACCTGATAGGTCAAAATAGATTCATTGGCATATGGGAAATTTTTATCATTTCCAGATAATTGATGGTTATGTACATATTCAGTGTTTCCAAGATAATTTTGAGTCCCTGACCTGGTAAGTGGTGTATCAGAAAATCAAATGTAATTTTCATATTGTAAAACTTTTTTTCTGAAGGCAGTTTAGAACCAAATTAATATAAATATTTATTTAAAGCAGCAGGCAATTTTGATTATGAAAAACATCTGTCAAATACCTCTTAACTTCAAAGAGTGATTTGAAATATGGAAAAAGTGAAGGCTAAGTAAGGATAATAGTAATTGTGTATTTATAAAAGGAAAATATTCAACACTATGGTGTCTGTGTTCTCTCAGACTAGTGAACAAGAGTAATATACATTGACTGCTGTAATACTCTTTTCTCTGGGATACTCTAAAAAGAGGTTTTTCTAAGACTGTTGCTAGTTGTATTGGCTGACAGAAGAATAAGTGTGTATGTCATATTATAAGTTAATTAATTTTGCTTAATTGTAAATAGCAGACATTTCTGTTTATTATTTTATTTTTTTAAAAAAGAGAGACACCTTAAATACCAAACTGTGCAACTTCTAAAGTTGGTGGCATGAGGCATGTACAAATTAAATATAATAGGAACTCAGAATAAGGGTAACTTCCATTTGGAAGAGAAATTTAATAAAAGAAGGAACACATCAGCTGGGCCTTTAAAGAAGATTTTGATTGTGGAGATAAAGAAAATACTTTTCCTGTTTAGGAATGGTAGCAGGTACAAAGGGAGAGGTGCTTATGGAAGGTAGAAAATTTGATTGAGCTGATGATGTGTAAGGTACCTGAAGAAAATAGTGGGATATAGGAAAAGTTGGTTGGTTCAGTGATTCTCAATTTTGATTATAGATTGGAACCACCTTGGAAGTCTTTAAAAATATCTGTGGCCTAGCTGCATCCAGAATAAGTAAATCAACATACTTGGCAATAGGACACCAGGCATTAATTTTTAAGCTCCCTGAATGATTATAATATGTTTGAGAACCACTGTTGTAAGGACTTTTGACAGGTTTCTTGATTAATTTCCTCTTTGGTTTTTCTATTATTATAAAAAAAACAAATACAGACATTCATAGTATTTAAGCATTTTTATGTATGTAGGACCCTTGATTTTGCTTTCAGGAGCAAGCAAATAATTCATGTCTTATTTATATACTAGAGGCCTGGTGCTTGGATTCATGGACTGGTGGGGTCCCGAGGCCTGGCCTGCGGGGATTGGCCGAAAGTGGCAGTCCGACATCCCCTGAGGGGTCCCGGATTGCTAGAGGGCACAGGCCAGGCTGAGCGGGCCTCTAGTATGCATATAAGATCTGTGGTTAATCTCTTCCTGCGCTCCCTCCTCCGCTCTTTTCTCTGAGATTCATCAGTGTGTTCCATGTTTCCATGCCTGTGCAGTGAGCATCTGCTCCCTGGTGATCATGCGCATCATAGCTACCGGTCGAACGGTTGGAAACTTAGCATATTAGCTATATTTATATATATATAATTTATTGTCCTTTGAATTTTTACTAATTTTGTTCATATATTTGCCATCAAATTATTGTCATGATTTCAATTAATTTTTCTCAAAAATAAAGTATAGAAACTTCTAATATACTGTAGTCTTTAAGAATTATTAGTCTCTACTATTAGAATTATAGAAGACTTCATTTTTAGTTCCTCATTTATGAAATTAGCATAATAGTACTAACCTCTCTGGGGTTTTTTTTTTGCAAGTGTTAAATTTGTATTATAATCATTTTCTAATTTATGTATTTCTGACTTGTTTGGTTTATATATAATAAGCATTTAGTGCTTTGCTGTCCAAAAAAATTAAAACATATAAAGCATAGGAACTTCCTGATAGTAAATAGAGTATATTGTATCATTGGGTTTCCAGGCTCTTTAGAAATTCTGATGTCAAATTAGAAAATCATTTAATAGAAAATGTCATTTTGAAAAAACTTATATTTTAGGTATCATGCTTTTAAATTTCGAGTGCATTAAAATTTGTGGGGATTTCATTTAAATATTTCTGTAGGATGCAAGTGAGCAAAAGACAGAACTTGAAAAACTGAAGCACAGAATAGCAGACGAAGTTGTTAAAATTGAAGAAAGAAAAAACAAAATTGATGATGAATTAAAAGAAGTACAGGTAAGACTAACATTTTTGACTATCAATTGTATATAGGAGTTTAAACATTATTTGCTGAAGTTATGTTCTAATAGCATCAAATGTGGCTGTAACTAGAATATTATTTGTAAAAGAAGCAGGAAGGGAATTCTCCTAGGAGAAGTAAGCAAATTAATTGATGGTAATAAAAAAAATAATCTGTTTCCTGTGAATCATGTTGTTTTGACTGTGGAGGGAAAAATGTGTTGTAGGTAAATTAAGACAAACTCTTAGGCTCCTTTTCTGGAGATTTGACTAAATTAACTAAATAGTCTTAGAATATAAAGAGCTTTGAAACTGGCAACTTGTCTCAAAACAAATTAGATCTTTCAGATTAGAGTGATGCTGTTATGGCAAGGACTCTTACTTTCTTGACTTGAACATTTTGTACTTTATGTTTTAAAGCATTTTGATATTGGAAGAGAAAGCATGTTTAACTAGAGTCATTTTATGAAAATGACAAATATGCAATGATTTGTAATGAGCTAACAATTTTTTTATGTATATATTTTGAAGTTGAAAATGCCCTTTATGTCTTTTAGCCTCTAGTGTATGAAGCAAAACTAGCAGTTGGAAACATTAAGCCAGAATCTCTTTCAGAAATTCGCTCACTGCGTATGCCCCCTGATGTAATCAGAGACATTCTTGAAGGAGTTTTAAGGTTGATGGGTATCTTTGATACATCTTGGGTGAGCATGAAAAGGTAAGCTTTTGAATTTGTGAAAAATGTTATTATTTCATCAATAAATTACACATTCCTTTATATTTTAAAATATTTGTTATTTTGTTTCTCACACTGAACTTCATCTAATTAACTGGTTTCACACTTTGCTCTGATATCTCAAGATACTCTATGTAACAATATATCGAGATCTACGTTTTTCTTTCTCCATAAGTGGTTGTTAAAAGTGTCAAAAGAGGAGAACAGGAAAGCCTTAAAATCTTTTAAGAATGTCTCGATAGATATGATCATTTATTTGGTACTCACATTGTGTTTACTGTCATTTACTGATGAAGAAAATATAGTCACTAGCCCAGAGAGTTTGGCACTCTTGGTGGTATAGTCAGAGAGAGTGAGAGCTCCATAAATAACACAAGAATAATGTATACTAGGAAATAATTGAGTCTTTTTGTTTTTTTAAAAAATATTTTTATTGATTTCAGAGAGAAAGAGAGAGAGTGAGAGAGAGAGAGTGAGAGAGAGAAACATCAATGAACGGAATCACCAATCGGCTGCCTCCTGTACGCCCATATTGGGGATTGAGCCCACAACCTGGGCATGTGCCCTGACTGGGAATTGAACCTTGACCTCCTGGTTCATAGGTCGACACAACCACTGAGCCACGCTGGCCAATCTACTAGGAAAGACTGAGTCTTAACTAAATAGGCTACAATGCAGCTTCAGGTTTTATACTATAGCAGTGTTGTTACGGTATTCAATTATATTTTAGGATTTAGATTGGTAGTAAAGTCCTTTTCTATCTGGAGTTGGGAGAGGAGATTTAGGTTCAGAGACCACTTTAAATATCTTAGAAAGCAGAAAAATTTCTTGCATATCCTAGAACATATGAGTACCAAGTAGTTCACATAAAGGGATGTGGGTAGAATAACAGGATTGTAATTTCTTTATTTCATTGCTACAGGTTATTCACAGAATATTAGGAAATTTGTTTGTTGTGCAGCTTTTTGTAGTTCCTCCTTGTTTATAAAAAATGTGGATAGTCCATTTAAAGCTTATATACTTCAGTCCCCTATTTTTTGTTAGCTAATAGATTACAATTATTACATACGCTATTTTGTTAAATTGATATTTTTCTAAGAACTAGCAAATTTTATTTAACCTCATTTGAAGTAATATGCTTTAATTTTAGTTTCCTCGCAAAAAGAGGTGTGAGAGAAGACATAGCAACTTTTGATGCACGAAATATTCCAAAGGAAATAAGAGACAGTGTTGAAGAACTTCTTCATAAAAATAAAGGATCTTTTGATCCAAAGGTAATTTTTTAAAGTTATGCCATAAATTCCTTTTCAATGCTTTATAATATCCTGCAAATTAAAAAGTGATGACATTATCATTTGCTTAGATTGTCTAATAACTAAAAGTTTTTAAAAATAAGCTGTACATATTATAGGTAGTAAGCATTTACCATCAGAATTAGGTAGACTAGAATCCAAGTTGGGGTGTGGTGCATATTTATTAGCATAAGTGATTTTTAAATCTCACTCTGGTCTGTCAGTGGTAAGGTCCCAGTCTACCATATCAGGTCCAGCTTGCCTGGTATGTTTTTCTTTCTTCCTGTGTACTTGTCAGATAATAATAGATGTCTGTGTTAGGATACTTGTATCTAATTTTAGTGAATAGTTTAAACTCCATGATTCTGGTATGTTTTTTAGATCCCTTATTAAAAATGTTTTGTACATCTGCTTTAACACTAAAAACCATGTTTTGAAATTGCTTTTATTTAATAAAGATGTATTCCATGTAGAGAAGAGAAAGAATTGATGCTTAAACATTATTGCAGACAGACATTGTCATTACAAATGTGACTAATAGAATACTTAATATGTTGATAAAACATCATTATATTAAAGATTGTATGAGATTCAGAAAGATTTTTAAGCAAGAAGTGAGACATACTTAATGAAATAGCAACTCACTTTGTTTTTATTTTAGCTACATACCAAAACCTTCATTTGTGAAATAAATGCTTAAGTAACATATGCTAGAATTAATTCTGTTATTATTTGAAAATAAGTTAAGAAGCTGGATAACTGATGGGTTTTTCAGAATGCCAAGCGTGCCAGCACTGCCGCGGCTCCCTTGGCTGCCTGGGTCAAAGCCAACGTGCAGTACTCCCACGTCCTGGAGAGAATCCAGCCTTTGGAAACGGAGCAGGCACGATTGGAGTCGTAAGTGACAGAAAATACCAACAGTTCTAACCTTGATTTATTTTCATCAATTTGATGATTTAGTTATATTATTAAGACTTATTTAGGATTTCTTATCTATATCTAAAAAGGAAGCTAAAAACATTAAATCATATAAAAGGAGTCAACTAATTACAAATTCAATGTTAATCAGACCAAGAAGAGGAAAACCAATTGGAAGGAGATGGAAAGAAGAACCAATAACTTTCCCTGCCATTATTATGCTGTTGGAAGGATAAGTCGGTAGTAGTTCTTTTAGAAAGAGCTAAAGTTTTGTAGAGGGATAATATTAAAGTACAAAAAAGGAGGTTTTGGAAATAGTGGGCTTTTATATTTGTTTTCACCTTCTAAGTTCTAGGAAATGTTTGGTGTGTATTTTCTAAAACATTCTCTGGGAAGGCGGGGGGAAAATTTAACCATTTATTTTTTGGGTTTAAAAATATCAATTTGCTGTTACTAGGTGAGCATTGTATTTTATCTCCTTTGTTCTTATGCAGACTAAGAGGTATGTTATATTCTTGATTGTTCAGTTTTTGACATTATTCTTATTCTAGATAAGGAGATTTTTTTAGCCCCCTAAACTTTATAATTTTCTGAATGTAATTTTGTGAAATTTTTGTGTTACATTTATACATTATTTTGACTATATATTTTCCACAGCTGAGACATGTTTTATATTTCCTTTCTTGGACACCTCTTTATCGTTCTTAACAATTACCTCAGATTATTCAATTGATTATTTTTTCTGTTTACATACCACATATTTATTCGCAGCCTTCCTGTCAGACCCTAAAACATATTCGGAATCTATATGTTCTATTTACTTTTTTCTTAGCATTACCCATCCTGGAGCCTTTTCCCTTGTGTTTCAATGTGAATTAGTTCTTCCCTAGGCCTGGTGCTTACAGCTATTATCTTGAGATTTCACTTCACCATTTTTCTGGGAATTACCTTTGTCTCTTTTCTGATTTGCATTCTTTTATTAATGCCCTTGCCTTTCTCTTTCCTAGTATAGTCCATTTTTCTAGAGCGCCTCCTTCACATTAGCTTCCCAATCAAAGGTAAATAGGATGAAAAATGTTTTGAGATCTTTCAATGTCTAACATTATCTATATTATACTATTATATGTGATCAATAATTAGGCTGGGTTTAGAACACTGGGCTAGAAAAAGTTTGATCTCACAATTTTGAAGGCCTTATTCTATTGCGGTGGTTCTCCAAGTATGGTTCCCGAAGCAGCAGCATCAGTGTCACCTGGGAACTTGTTAAAAGTACACATTTTTGAGCTTCAGTCAGACTTACTGAATTAGATACAACGTGTGGGGTGCAGAGTGAGGCCTTTCAGTTCATGGTGTTTTTTTTTTTAAGAATTTTTATTGATTTTCAGAGAGAGAGGAAGGGAGAGGGAAAAAGAGAGAAACATCGATGTGAGAGCGAAATATTGATCGGCTGCCTCCTGCACATCCCTTACTGGAGATGAGCCCACAACCTGGGCATGTGTCCTGACTGGAATGGAACCGGCAACCCTTTGGTGCATGGATGATGCCCAAACCAACTGAGCCACATCAGCCAGGACGGCAGTCTGTGTTTTGATAAATCCAGGAGATTGTGCAATGCACAAATGCCCAGCAGCATGCAACAGTGTGGCCTGGCCATTTGATAGCAACTCTCAATGTTTGTGGGTATTTTTGGGGAAAGAGGCCAGTCATTTCTGTAGAAGAATCCTCATTGCTTCTGCCCTAGGCTGTGGGTGGGATGGATGGGGGTGGATGAGGGGTATAAGCTCGACTTCCAGGATTGTGTTAAGAAGATAGTCCGCTTTCAGTGGGGGAGGCAATCTGAGGTCAAACACTTTGTAATAATGACTTTTAATCCTCTGTTGTCTACATTTCCTGAGCATTTTAGAGGTACCTGTTGTCTGCATTTTAGAATTCTTTCAGCTTCTCTTCCTGAAGCCATTTAACTTGTGTGGCATTTCTGGTATGTTCTCACCTTTCAAAATTTTATTGAATTACTCTTTTGTAATACTTTTCTCCTTCATTATCTTTCTTCTTGTACATGTATATCTTTTTTAGTCCCTTGGTTTCATTCTGTAGAGTTTTAGAAGAGATAGTAGATAATTGACTATGTTTACCATTTTTATTCCGAGATCTACACACACAAGTATTTTTAAAGATAGGCCTCTGTAAGTGGTATGGCTAAGTCAGAAGATACATTTTTAATTTTAGCTTTAATTTCATATCAAATTCTAAGTAAAGGTATTATGACTACTGGATTATTAATAGTTTTCATTGTCATTTATTTACTTCAAAATTACATTTTAAGGTGCTAGTGCTGCATTTTGTTGGTATCTAAAATAGAGTAACTTTTATAAAATTCAATTATATTTTAGAAATTTGAAGAAAACTGAAGACAGAAAAAGGAAACTAGAGGAGCTTCTTAATTCTGTTGGTCAAAAAGTATCAGAACTTAAAGAGAAGTAAGTTAAGTTTTAAAATGCATTTTGGATATTTGAAAATATACTTCAACTATTTTTTTATTTTTGAAAATCTTAGTTATAATTACTATTTTCACCTTTTTTGTTATTTATCACTCTAAAATTGGGAAAGGTATAAAATAATATAGGAGGTATTCCTTTTTTAAAAAAAGTTTTTATGATAATAACAAAAATATTTGTCTCCATTGATATAGTTATCACTATATGTATATTTACTTATGTATATTTATTCCCAAGCATTGGAAAATTGAGCAAGATAAATCAAATGTAATGAGTTAATACTGAGAGTGTTTACATTTGGCATTCCCGTTTCCTTATTGTTTTGACTTTAAAGTTTTAGACTCCTTTATTTCAGATGATGCTATTCTATAATCTTCCATGAGAGTGTATGATGACATTTTAAAAGTCCATTCTTTTAACTTTGTGCTTTTTAGTGTTGAAAAGATATTCCCTGTGCAATATTATACTCAAATTTAAGGACCATTTATGAATATTATTAATCTTAAAATCTTTCATGTACCTCTGGGCTCCTGTGAGTGTTATTTAGTGTCTGATAGAAAATATTAGTATGGCAATTATTATAAATGTGGGAACATTTTACTTAAAATAATTGTAAAGATTGGGAAATGGAACATATCAGTGTGAGATATGTTCCAATATGCCCCATTGATGCCTGACACTGTGGATAGCACTGAATCCTATTTATACTGTGTTTTTTCTTATACATACATACCTATGATAAAGTTTAATTTATGATTAGGCAAAATAAGTATTAACAATAACAAATAATAAAATAGAACACTTATAACAATATCCTATATAATAATCCTATATAATAAAAGGGTAATATGAAATTGACCTGAATGGTGGAATGACTGGGAATGACTGACCTGAATGGTAGAATGACCGGGAATGACTGGTTACTATGACACACACTGACCACCAGGGGGCAGAGGCTCAATGCAGGATTTGCCCCCTGGTGGTCAGTGTGCTTCCACAGGGGGAGCGCTGCTCAGCCAGAAGCCAGCTCATGTCTGGCCAGTGCAGCAGCGGTGGCGGGAGCCTCTCCCACCTCCATGGCAGTGCTAAGGATGTCCTACTAACGGCTTAGGCCCGTTCTGCGCAGGCAGCGGGCCTAAACCAGCAGGTGGACATCCCCCGAGGGCTCCAGGGCTGCCAGAGGGATGTCTGACTGCCAGTGTAGGCCTGATCCCCCGGGGAGCGGGCCTAAGCCATCAGTTGGACATCCCCCAAGGGGTCCCGGACTGCAAGAGGGCATAGGCTGGGCTGAGGGGATCCCCCCTTCCCCCCAGTGCACGAATTTTCGTGCACCTGGTCTCTAGTACAATAATAAAACTTGTGAGACTCTGGTCACTAGTTTCAGGGGGTCCCTTGTTGAAGTCTTCTTATACATTGCTTTCTGGTATAACTTGTTGCCATCAATCAGAACACGTTTTCTGTTCATGTCTTCTACTCACTAATTTAGTGCCTTTTCATCTTAACTAAGCACTTATCATGCACTGTTGCCATATATTTTGTAGTTTGAGGTGCAACAGCAAAACTAGCATGAATTACCTTTTCCTTTTTCACAATTTCATGGGTAGAAGGTTCATTCTTACTTTAGATCTTAACAACTCAGCACACAGCTTTTTTTCTTTTCTAAGTCGAGAACTTTCACATTTTCACTTAAACGGAGCACTTTCATTGTCATATCCGAACTGCCACCATCACTACTCTTCTGCTTTGGAGCCATTATTAAGTAAAATACATGTTTCTTGAACACAGCCCTGTGATACTGTGACAGTCGATCTGATAACTCAGATGGCTACTAAATGACTAAGGGTGAGTAGTATGTGTAACATGGATACACTGGACAAAGGACTGATTAATTTCCCGGGTATGACAGAGCTGGATGGTATGAGACATCATCACACTACTCAGGATGGCCCACAATTGAAAACCTATAAATTATTTATTTCTGGAATTTTCTATTTAATATTTCTGTATGGTGGTTGGACACAGGTAACTGAATCCATAGAAAGAAAAACCCCAGGGCCGGGGGGGAGGAGGGGAACTACAATATGTGATGAAATATATGTTATTGTTTACTTTCAGTTTTATGAAACTAACACTTTTTAAGTGATCACATTGTTTTCAAGTGGTGTGTTATGTTTACTTTTTTTCTTAAGGAAGAAATAGAAATTATTGTACCAAGAAAGAAATTCATCAGACTAAAACTATGACTGTTTTTCTCTATGTAGTCTGGAAATAATTATCTTTATATTTACATATTTAGTTATAGAAAAAAAAAACAGACCAAAAAGAAAACCTCAAATCCATAAATCCAGTGTTTTCAATATTCCTGATTATTTTATATGTTATAAATACAGGAAAGAAATCACATCATGTTCTTCCAGGTATAATTAAAGAAGTATAAGAAAAATAGTGTGTATCATATGTTCAGAATCAGTATTTAACATTCAGGTAATTGTCCAGTATTTATTGAGTAGTTAGCATAAGGTAGCAATGTTTTTGTTTGTTTTGTTTTTAATCCTTACCTGAGGACATGCTGAGAGAGAGAGAGAAAGAGAGAGAGAGAGAGAGAGAGAGAGAGAGAGAGAGAGAGAGAGAAAGAAGAAGGAGGAGGAGGAGGAGGAGGAGGAGGAGGAGGAAGAAGAAGAAGAAGAAGAAGAAGAAGAAGAAGAAGAAGAAGAAGAAGAAGAAGAAGAAGAAGAAGAAGAGGGGGAGGGGAGGGGCATGAGGAGGGGGGGGGGAGGGGGAGGGGGACGGGGAGCAGGAAAACATTGTCTTCCGCATGCTCTCAACAGGGGATCAAACCTGCAACCCCTGTATGTGCCCTGACCTGGAATCTTGGCTATCCACTACGGTAGCCATTAAAGATACATGGTTACTATTGAGAACTTTGAATGTGGATAATATGACTGAGGGATTGAACTTCAAATTTTATTTCATTCATTTAAATTTAAGTAGTCACCTGTTGCTAGTGGCTACCATATTGGACATATGAGTTCTAGAGTCTTGTTTAAGGGAAAAAGGAAAAAGTACTTAAAGTGGCAATACAGTGTACTGTAAAGTTCAAGGAACTTAATATCAGACAGACACACCCAGGTGAGACCTGTGTAATAATCTGTTTGGAAATAAGTTTCCATGTCCTGGCATTTCATCAGCAATTATGTATTTGTTGAAGGACTAAGTATTCATGTGGAATATTACTATTTTATTTAATAAAACTATAAATTGTTAGGTATTTTTTAAGGAAAAAATTTTAAGAGTTATAAATTTGGGTGAATGGGCATGTAGGAAGAGAATATATAATGGATTGGCTATTTGAGGTGAATTTTATTTATATGTTTGATAGCTAGATATTTAAGGAAATTAGAGTGAGGAGTGAGGTAGGGATAAGGAAGGGATGGAAGGTGTTCTAGGCAAATGGAACATCCTGAAGAAGGGCACAGCAGATGAAGGCTAGAGCATTTTCTGAGAATAAATACTCAGATATTTACCTATAGTTTTGTTGGACTAGAATAGAATAAAATAACACTGAAAAGATAAATTTGGTCAATCTTATAACTGGGTCTTGAATGTCATATGGAAAAGTAGTACAGTGAATTAATGCCCTATATGAATTATACACTTTATATATATATACTAGAGGCCTGGTGCACAAAAATTTGTGCACTCGGGAGGGGGGGGTCCCCCAGCCTGGCCTGTGCCCTCTCGCAGTCTGGGACCCCTTGGGAGATAACGACCTGCTGGCTTAGGCCTGCTCCCGGGTGGCAGAGGGCACGCCCAATCCCTAGGTGCAGCCCCTGGTCAGGCTCAGAGCAGGGCCGATTGGGGAGTTGGGGCGCCGCCCCGTCATGCACAGAGCAGGGCGGATCGGGAGGTTGCGATGCCACCCTCAGTCACGCTCAGGGTAGGGCCGATTGGGGGGTTGGGGCACCGCCCCCTGTCACACTCAAGGCAGGGTCGATCAGGGGGTTGGGGAGCTCCCCCCTGTCACGCACAGAGCAGGGCCGATCAGGGGGTTGAGGAGCTCCCCCCTGTCACTCACAGAGTAGGGCCCATAGGGGAGCTGGGGCACCGCCCCCTGTCACACACAGAGCAGGGCCCGATAGGGGAGTTGGGGCACCGCCCCCTGTCACACACAGAGCAGGGCGGATCAGGGGGTTGGGGCGCTGCACCCTGTTACACTCAGGGCAGGGCCAATGGGGAGGTTATGGCTCTACCCTGTCACACACAGAGCAAGGCCCGTGGAGGGGGGTTGGGGCGCCACCCTCTATCACCCACAGAGCAGGGCCGATCAGGGGGTTGGGGCGCCGCCACTGTCACACTTGGGGCAGGGCTGATGGAGAGGTTATGGCTCTACCCTGTCACACACAGAGCAGGGCCTGTGGGGGGGGGGTTGGGGCGCCACACCTTGTCACACACAGAGCAGGGCCGATCAGGGGGTTGGGGTGCCTTCCCCTGTCACACACAGAGCCACAGGGCGATCAGGGGGTTTGGGTGCTGCCCCCTGTCACGCTGATCCCGGTGCCGGGAGGCATATTACCCTTTTACTATATAGAATAGAGGCCTGGTGCATGGGTAGGGGCCGGCTGGTTTGCCCTGAAGGGTGTCCTGGATCAGGGTGGGGATCCCCACTGGGTGCCTGGCCAGGCTGGCTGAGGGGCTGAGGGCTGTTTTCCGGAAGCGGGTGACTGAAGCTCCCAACCGCTCCTTTTTTTCTTTTTTCTTTTTATTCCGGGCCAGCTTTAGCTCTGAGGCCTCGCTGCTGAAAACATCGATACAATGTTGCGGTCCGGCTGGCTTTCAGTCTGGCTGGTTTCTGGGGTTTTGTTTAGCTTCTTATTTGCAACATAGTACATAGTTGCTTAGAGTTGCAGCTGAGAGGCCGGCAGCGGCAGGTGGGGAACGTTAGAGTTTGCCATCACTGGAGCAAGCAAGCAAGCCTCCCTGCTCGCTTCAGTGCATGGCTGCCGGCCGCCATCTTGGCTGACAGTTAATTTGCATAAGGATATGCTGATTAGCCAATGGGAAGGGTGGCGGTCGTACGCTAATTACCATGTTTCTCTTTTATTAGTGTAGATAACGTATATATATGTATGTGTGTATGTATATATATATGTATATATATATGGATATGTGTCTATTTGATGAATGATATTTTGAACACAAATACTATTAGTATTATCATTAATTAAATTCTTATATAAAAGTTCACTTTACTGCCTAAGGTTAATTTAATCAAATCTCTCTTACATTTCTTTGCCTTTAATGTTTTCACAGATTTCAGAGCAGGACTTCAGAGGCTGCCAAACTTGAAGCTGAAGTAAGCAAAGCACAAGAAACAATTAAAGCTGCGGAAGTCTTAATTAATCAGCTTGATAGAGAACACAAGAGATGGACTGCACAGGTTCGTGTGAGAAAGAAACGTCAAAAATAAGGGCTCCCTTGAAAATACAGGAGATCTATAATGTGATATATTTGTTAAAAAAATAAAAAGGAGAGAAATATCCATTAACTTTCAGCTGGCTTAAGAAAAAAATGATCTAGATGTTAATGGCTGTTATGTGAATTAATCTTTAAGCACAGTATCTTTATATGAATGGATTTTAGACAAAGCAACCTATTTCTCTTTTTTATCTATATTATTGAAGGGAAGGGCAGGGATGAAAAAGAGTTGATGGAAAAGGTGTACTCTTTTTTTGGAACTTACCTTTACCAGTACAGTGATCTTAGGATTTTACACTATTAGCCATTTATTTTTTCTTGAAGTACTCTGTTAAAGGTTGTCTCTTGTTTTTGTTTGTTTTGAAGATTCCCTCTCTCACCACATTCTCACCATCTGCTCATTCAGAAATGTTTGGCCTCAGTATCCTATCACATAGCTTCTTTGCAACTATTCTGGGTTATTTCATCCAGAAGAGTATCACCTATATAATGATGCTGACCAGAGCTATATTTCTAGCCTGCTTAGTTTTAAATTCATATTTTCAACTGTACTTTAGATAGTTGCATTTAACTATCTCAGGAACTCATATGTTTAAATTTATTTTATTTTTCTATCCAAATCTCTATGATTTCCTATATCTCATAGGCATCTTTCTTCTAGGCATTAAAACTAAAAACATGTAGTTATCTTAGACTCTTCCTCTTCCTTATTTACTTGTCATAATCCATTTGCAAATATCTCTTATATTTGTCTTCTTTCCTTAATGCCAGTTCTTTTTTTTAATCCTGAATTCTCCCAACTTGTCTCGCTCCTATCTGACCCTTTAATTGGTTCATTCTTCATTTGTCAGTTTAATTATTTTTCTAAAACCCAATCCATACCATCACTCACAGCCCAGTTTAAAGACTTTCAATGGCTCATAATAACCACACGTTAAATAGAAGCTCCTTCGCATGGCGTGGGAAACCTTCCACCATGTTGTTCCCTCCAATCACTGCCTCTCTTTTTCCATTACTTCTGTTTTGCTACATTTTCTGCTCAAACTTATGCTTTAGCCAGCCATGCTTTTAAGTAATGAGTCTCAAAGATTTATCTTTGCTTTGTGCCTTTGTCACACTCTCTGTATCTTAATTGTATTTTACAAAATGATGCTAATTCACACAGTACATATTTAACTATACTTGGAATAAAAGTTCTGCTTTTGTTAAAATTATTAGGAAAATTTAATGATAAAATATGTTAATCTCTACAAATATATTGGGATTTGACACATTTGTTTAAGATCAGCAGAATGGAAAGCTTTGTTGATGTTTTTACATTTTGTCAATTTATTCAAGACAGGGGTTATTACTTTTAACCCATAAATGATTTTTTCCCCTCTATAGTAAAACTCTAGCTTATGAAGTTGTCATTTTTTCCAAGTTAAAACATATCCATACATCACTCTCTTTTTTTCTAGGTTGCAGAGATAACAGAGGAATTAGATACTCTTCCGAAAAGAGCTCAACTAGCTGCTGCATTTATGACATATCTTTCTGCTGCTCCTGAGGGTTTGAGAAAAACCTTTTTGGAAGAATGGACCAAGTCAGCTTGTCTTGAAAGTTTGTATTTAGTTATTCATGAATTTGAAATTTCAGTATACTAAATATGCATCTTTTGGTTTTTATCATTTTACTTTTTTAAATGAAAAAAAATCTGTAAGTTAAAACATACAGTAGCTACTTTAGATTTGCTGAATTCTACAAATGTCCTGAGAATTGTTTTGTTATGATGATTCTTCTATTCCTAAAATCACTCTATGACACTGAGACCACTGAGTTATTTTTGGTATATGCATGAGTACAGTGAAACATTTTATTAGTTTAATTATTACAGTAATTTCATATCTTAAGACAAGATGCAAGAACTGCAAAATTCCTTATGAATTTTGTGCTTTTCACAAATTATTATAGTTGTGAAACATTCATTTAATAGATAAAATATAAATTAACTGAATTCCATTTCTTTGTACTTTTTTCCCCTTAGTGTCTGCTGTTAAATGGGGAAGAATAGATTTAATATTAAAGATAATTATGAGATTTTTCTGAGTGTATTTTAAATAGTTGTATTCCTTCCCACTTGTCAAATACAAGCTTGTTATAGTGAAGTATTATTGATATCTGTAACTTTTCAGAATTTGATCTGCGGAGATTTCTTTGTACTGAAAGTGAGCAGTTAATTTGGAAAAGTGAAGGCCTACCATCAGATGATCTTTCCATAGAAAATGCTATTGTTATCCTACAGGTAATAAATCAATTTTAATTTTCTTATCAGATGTATTTCTTTTGAATGCTTTCCTAGTTACACAGAAGTGGAGTATTTTGCTTGGTGATTCTATAATTTTTAGTATAACTTATTTTTTACATTAAAAGTTTATAAAGTATCACTATTTTGGTGGCTAAATATTCTACATTGAACTCCCAGTTAGTAATAGAAATACTTTTGGAATACCTGATTCATTTGGTTGTATGGTTCCTTCACCTAGTGTACATGATTTTATATTTTTATTCAAAAAAATTTTGGGGTTATAAGTTAGAGATGATCATATGTATTTTTTGGAAAATTGTCTCACAGTGTGTGTTCCCCAAAAGTCATTTAAACTTGAAACTATTATAACCTTACTAGAGGCCCGGTGCACAAAATTCATGCACTTGGCGGGGGTTGGGGGTGTCCCTCAGCCTGATCTGTGCCTTCTTGTAGTCCGGGACCCTTCGCTCCTTACCACCTACCTGCTGGCTGCTCCTTAGCACTGCTGCGGAGGAAGGAGAGGCTCCCGCCACCATTGCTAGCACCCCTGGTGGTCATTCTGCTGTTCAGTCAATTTGCATATTAGCCTTTTATTATATAGGATTAGCAATGAATGTGAAAACAAATTCCAAATCATATATACAAACAGATCATTTCATTAAATGACTTTTGATTTTTACCATTAACTTGGTTTACCTTTCTGTTATAGAACTTGGAAGATGATTTCCACCCCTTGATTATGTGATGTTTTCCCCCCTATTCTTTCTATCTTAATAGTTTATACTACATACTACAGTTTTCTCTTTCCACTTTGTGGCCCCCTCTCTCTGCCCACAGACCATTTCCTTATTCCATAACTCCAGAGTCTCAAAGAAAACACTAAATGCTCCTCTTTAGGTAACGTAGGCTAAGTATTATTAGATCTTTATTGTGGGCTCTACTCATTCTTGCATAATTTATTTTGATTAATCCTATTAATCAGCTGATATACATTGGCATCTTACCAGTAGAGAAGTTGCTGATCAAAGATTAAACAGTTTTGTCTTCTTTTAATTTGATTTGGCTTGTTCTTTAATTTATTTTGGAACATCTTTCATTATTTTTCACACTAGAATTACAGATTTGAAACTCTAATTGTGTATGTCAATAAATTCATTATATTATTGCAAACTATGTGATTTTTATTTTAGTTATTCCTTCTCTAAGGTTTTATAATCAGCTCTTTTTTCTTTTTTAGTAATCTAAGAAAGCAATCATTTGCAGATTTGAAAAACACATTTTAAGTATTCTCCTTTTTTCATTCTATAAGAAATCAGTGTAGATGAGCCTTTAGATAAGATATATTTATCACAATTTTTATTTTTTATTGATAATAATTTAATTTTATTGAAAATACTTTTGTATTCTGAATTGTCTTTTATAATAAGTACAGGAGAAATTGTTTTTGAAAATAATTGCAAGAATAAGCTTATGTAGATTTATTTTACATTTAATATTTCCAAGTTTCTTATAGATACTCATATGCATTCATATGACAAAAAAACCATTTGGAAAAATTTATTAGGGCAATTAATTATTTTGTTGAAATGAATTTGCCATTATGGTCAATACTCTGTCTCCGTTGTAAAGTATACTAGATTTAGAATAAGCTGCTACAATTAAGGGTGTGATCAGATAGCACATGTCTATAACATCTCATTAACATCACCATGTGATGTATGTGAAGTTAGATCTGTAAATACACGCAAACTGTGTTTCTGGGAAGTCTTCCCTGAGAAGAATGGCCAGGCATAATGAATGAGATGAGTTTTTGAATCAGATATCACATCTCCTCACCAACTATACCTGCGCTTTTCTGAGACTCTCCTTCTCAGTGGAGGCTTTCCCACACTTAAGGCTCTAGCCACTCATTGTCAACAATTATCCCATTGTATGTCTTTCAAAGATGCTTGAATTTCTCATATTTGTGTTAAGTATTGAAGTGCATGTATTGTCTGGGAGACGAAATAGTCAAATACTTATCCATCATTGGCCTTGTAATGAGAATTAGTTTTATTAGAACAACTGAAAGCTTATATGACCCATATCCTTGGGGGCAGGGGAAGAACGTGGTCATGATGATTATATGTCCTGGATTGCCATGATTTATGCCTTTTGTCCTGATGTAATTAATCTTAATAGTTTTCCTTTTACTCCCCAAAGTGTGTTGGTTTGGGTGATAAATTTTATGATTTTTTAGAATCGGATAATGGAGAGTATAAGGCTGTTAGAAAGTAGAGAAGTGTGAGTGATAAGCTTCCAAAAAGAAGATGGAAAGATGATTAATTTAAATGTCACAGTATTATAATTTTTTATTTAAATCTTACAGTATTAACCATTTTTCTTGTGTAGAGATATATTAAATATTTGACTTTTACTGTATATACAGTTCAGTTTCAAATTAATTTTCTTTGAACCACTTAGAATTTCTGAGATTATTTTTCTTTCCTGCCATTCAAAGTATGATAAGGAAATGCAAACTAATTTGCTATTAGTCTAAAGAATACAAAATTATAAAGTTAAATCACATATGGAATTTTTTTCAAATAAATAATAATCATCAACATTTGTATAGTACTTTCTGTGTTGTGTCTATATTACTATTGTACAATTTATATAGGTAAAGCACTTAAGTACTTACTTTTTTGAATTTTCAAACCAACCCTATCTTGTAGATATGGACATGGAAACACAGAAGGGTTAAGTTGCTTGTCCAAGGTCACACAGCTGTCAAATGGTAGAGCCATTCTTATCTTGCTTATAGGTATTAAAAATAAAATAGAGTATCCTAGATATTTTAAAATAATCTCTACCAAAAATATCCACTGCCCATTCCTGTCCTCCCCCTCCCCAGGGAGAGAAGAATTAAAAGATATAAATAGATATTATGTGTCTCCTGCATTTGCCCTCTGTTCTGAGCTCCTGACCTCTAGTTCTAGCTCCTAAGGTTAGATATTATCTAGAGCTCCCTTCCTTGCTAGCTCAAGCTCTGTCTCTTTATTAATCATTATTATTAATAATATTAGTTTAGTGAAGAATCTTTCAGTGGCCAAGTACAGTTCATTTACAAAAAAAAAAAAAAAGAAAAGCAACACATGCTTTTAAATAACTGAGAGGTTCAAAAGATTGGGTGTGGCTTTAGAATTCAAATGATTTACCAGGACATTGCTCTCTCTCCTCTTAAGAGATGGATTCATTCTCAGATTCTCTCTACCCGGAGTTAAGAATGGCTCTTGGTGACTATAGACTTACCGCTATCAGAGTGTATGTTCCCAGACTAAAGATGTCTTCACCTTTCTGTCCTCCCCTCTTACCCCAATTAATTTATGTCAGCACCCCAAAATGATTCTGATTGGTAGCTTGGGTCACTTGCTCGCCCCTTGAGTGCAGTGCTAGATTGATAATCCCATCCGAAATACATTGAGTGGCACATGAAAGGTAGGTAAAGATAGCAGCTATCCACTCTAATACTTTTTTTCTTCCTCCCCCACTGCTTATAAAGTGCTTCTCATTTATTTCCTACCAGTGGAAATAACACAATCTTGGCCCAGTAATAGAAGTTGCAAATCTGCAAGTCATCCTCACTTTAATTTTACATTTAGTTACTTATCCAACAAGACTTGTGAAATCTATTTCTCAAATGTATAATGACTTTATTCTGTTCTAACTACATCCACCACCAATGGCTTCATTTAAGGCCTTCATCATTTTATACCTGGTTAAATACATTATTATACCAGTTGGTCCCTTGCCCCCAATATCACTTCCTTTACTGCTTTGTAGTGATCTTTCTAAAATGTTAATCTGATCATGACAGTTCCAAAATTAATATATTTGAGCGACTTTCAGTCTCCTGAAGTATAAAAATTTCATTATTCTTAAACATGCCATGAAAAGTTCATGATCAGAAAGACTGAAATTACTCCTGCCATTTTGTATGCAGCATCTTTGCCTACACTTTTCACTCTTATGGTGCCAAACTACTGATAGTTTCGCAAATGTACCCAGGCTTTTTATTCCTCTCTCCTTCATGCTCTTGTCTATCCCTGAAATGCTTTTTCATCTCTTTGCCAAATAAGTCCAATTTATTTTTCTTAGTTTAACTTGAATTGCTTCCCAGCGGCTTCCCCTAACTCCACCTGTGATCTTACAGAATATTGTGTACTCTTTCATTATAGAATTTTTATTTTTGGCTGCTTTATTAGATGTGAAGTCATTAAGGGTAAGAAGATATCTAATTAATTTCTCTATCACTCACATTGTCTTACCATGGTGGTTATGCAGCGTCTGGTAGGTAAATGAATACATGAATGAATAAAAGTCAATATTTTTGGATCTATTATAATTTGTTAAATGTAGATTTTAACTACCTTTAATCAACACAGACCTAAAATATACCCTAGAGATTTTATTTAAATCTCTCCAGAGAAGTATAAATGAATGAATACAAACCTATAAATACTCTTTGAAATTCTTAAAAATGTTTTTTGTTCTAAAAACATAATTTTTTGAAACTTTGTCTTCTTTTTTCTTATTTTGCATCAGATCATTGGTTTGAAGTCATGGGTAAGACCTTTTTAAGACATTTAAAATAATCATGTTCATGGTTAGTCAAAACTTAGTAGACTTGAGAAATGTTTGCTATTGAATGCTAACATAAAATAAGATCTAAAACCTAGGTGTAGTATGTTGGTAATACTGAATAGGATCTTTACTAACCATCTCATTTTGCTGGGAATAGCAGATTTACACGATGGAGCAATAAGTGAAACTTCCAGAAAGAGAGTTTGGGTGCAGATCGTAAGCAGTGACACAGAGGGAACTGTGGTGAGAGCAGGCCATTCTGGTGACAAGCAAAAAGGGGTACATTGCCCAGTTGGTGTGGCTCAGTGATTGAGCATCGACCTATGAACTAGGAGGTCTCAGTTCCATTCCCTGTCAGGACACATGCCTGGGTTGTGGACTCAATCCCCAGTAGGAGGCATACAGGAGGCAGCCAACCAGTGATCTGTCTCATCATTGATGTTTTTATCTCTCCCTCTCCCTTCCTCTGTGACATCAATAAAATTTTTAAAAAAAGGATGTGTGCATTGTCTGGAAAGAACTTTAAAGCCCTAATAAAACTGTTATAAACTCAGTCAGCTCTTTATTATCACCATATGCTGGCAGTTTTAAATAATGTTGCTGGTAAAATGCTCTTCATCCCTGGGGCATATGTTCCCCTCTAACCGCCTCCTTCTTGGTATGTCACTGAAAGAACATCTTGTTCTTAGTATTAGACATACCTCAGTTCTAAGTCTTTGTTTTACTTTGATTTCATGTGTGTTCTCCCTATATCACACAACTGCTTACAGTTTTCAGATAAATGAAAATTTAAGAAAAGTTAAATCAGTCATTAATATTTAACTCTGATTGACTAGGTAACAATGATTATTAGATGACTTAAATTTACATATATTTAAATTTTTCACATATATATATATGGCTTCTTTTCATCTGCTAAGTGGCTTTGTGTATAGGGCATGTTCACTGGTTTTTAACTTTCCCTGTAATGTATTTAGTTCCTAATTCATTAGATCAGCGGTTCTCAACCTGTGGGTCGCGACCCCTTTGGGGTCGAACGACCCTTTCACAGGGGTCGTTTAAGACCATTGGAAAACATATATAATCACATATTGTTTTTGTGATTAATCACTATGCTTTAATTATGTTCAATTTGTAACAATGGAAATATATCCTGCATATCAGATATTTACATTATGATTCATAACAGTAGCAAAATTACAGTTATGAAGTAGCAATGAATATAATTTTATGGTTGGGGGTCACCACAACATGAGGAGCTGTATTAAAGGGTCGCGGCATTAGGAAGGTTGAGAACCACTGCATTAGATCTTATAACTTATGTAATTTTTTCTTCTAGGGCATCTCTATTGTAATATTAACTATGTAACACTTTATAAGAATGAATGTTTTAAATATCAGCCATTATATTGATAATTATTTCAGTAATACTTTTGTAATTAGTTCATACTTCTCTTTTAAGGCCTTTATTGTTTATTCAACCAAAGAATATATAAAGTTAGGCAGTAACTTGGTTTTCTAGAGCTCTTGCTTACTATGTTGTTAATTTACATTGTCTGTTACTTTGTAGTAAATAAGACTGTATTTACTTTACTGTGATTTTAATTTTATTATCTATTATTAATTACTGATAACTCTAAAATTTATTAATGTGGCCTCTGGTACAGCTAAGAACTGTACCTTTAATTCTTCCTCATGGTTGTATATTTATATTCTCCAAAGACTAAGAGAAAAACTAACTCAGTAATTGATTCATAATTTTTAGGAAATTATTTCCATTTAATAAAAACTTCTAATTTTTCTTTTGAACTAGAGTCGAGTGTGCCCATTTCTTATAGACCCTTCTTCCCAAGCTACAGAATGGTTAAAAACACATTTGAAAGACTCACATTTGGAAGTTATTAACCAGCAGGTGTGTATAACATAATTTAGATACCAACTAGTAATGACATTTTATGGTGAAAGCACTCTGTGTCTATAATCAGAAAACATAGATCAGAGCTGAGTCCTATTAACTTACCTGGTGTGGGACCTGGGGAAAAAATGTTACTCTCTTAGCTTCAGATTTTTAATTTGTAAGAAAGGGATAAGAATATTTGTTTGATTTCTTTTAAGTGCAGGACATTGATCTAAGTCCTGGAAATGTAATGGTGAGTAAAGTAGTCACACTTCCTGCACTCATGGACATGACAGTCTAATAGGTTGCAGGGGTGGGCAAACTTTTTGACTCGAGGGCCACAATGGGTTCTTAAACTGGACCAGAGGGCTGGAACAAAAGCATGGATGGAGTGTTTGTGTGAACTAATATAAATTCAAAGTAAACATCATTACATAAAAGGGTACAGTCTTTTTTTTTTTAGTTTTATTCATTTCAAACCTGGCCCGCGGGCCGTAGTTTGCCCACGGCTGGGTTAGAGGCAGGGGTGGGGAACCTTTTTTCTGCCAAGGGCCATTTGGCTATTTATAACATCATTCATGGGCCATAAAAAATTATCAACTTAAAAATTAGCCTGCTATATTTGGTCAAACATTTAACTCAGGGCCAGATCAAATAATTTCCTGGGCCTTATGCGTCCCTCAGGTCAGATGTTCCCCAATCCTGGGCTAGAGAGACAAGCAATAAACACTTACACTAAATTATGTTTAAAGACACGAGTATAAGATCTTATACAAATGAGTTACTAATTGAGCTTGGAGAAAAACTTCCTGGACTTTTAATATACTTATAGTTTCTCTCAGTGTCTCTTATAATTTATTGTTCTTATAACTGACCAAGAATATCTTTGATGTGTCCTAAGATTTGACACATGTTCAGTGAAATTTAATCATATTCTTTCAGGTTATCACTTCTCACTGTCATATTTATCTTGCGAAGAAAATTATTTTTGGCCAAGTTTTTTTTTTTTCATTTTGAGGAAGGGCTAGTTGTATGATTAATTTTCATAGATATTTTTTAGGTGATTGAAAAATTGCCTTTTTAAAACATACTTCACTTATAAAATGGGGATATTGACCTTATTTGTGTGTTGAGAATAATTGTAGATTAGGTAATACACATAATACTTTAATGTCACTGTGGTTTGCAGTAGATCTTAATAATTATTATTTCAAATATTTAATTTATTTTAACCACAGTTGGAGGTCTGGAGTGATGTTGGAAGCTGCTCTTTTCCTAGCCAGGAAGCCTTAAAATTCTTGCATGGTTATAGAATTTTGTCTAAAAATTCTTTTCACCATGATTAGGCATACTACACAAAGAAAAGTTTACTAGAATTTAACCAAAGTAGTTCTTATTAAGTACTGGATGAATAACTTATTGCACATAGAATTTGAAGAATTGTTTCTGCATCAATTTGAAATTGTGATGGAAGGCTGAAAAAAGCTTTTTATTGTTAAGGTAAAAATCCTTATTTTTCTTATGTCTGTTTTAATTATTTATGAAATTTATTTGATAATTTATTCAACTAAAATGGTTCATTCTTAAGTACTTATAACTAGAAAAGCAATCATAAATAATTTGAATTGTTAACATGCATATTACATTTTAAAATATTCATAATATTCCTGTTAATATATTCATTTATTATCTGTAAGGATTTTTATAAATATTAAGGAAATGAAGGAATTAATATGTATTCTTTTTTTCTCTTAGGATAGTAACTTTATCACAGCTCTTGAGTTGGCAGTACGCTTTGGGAAAACTCTTATTATACAAGAGATGGACAGTGTAGAACCTGTTCTTTATCCATTATTGAGACGGGATCTGGTTGCCCAAGGTAAATATTTGACAGTTTCCAGATAGTAATTTTTTAAATTTTCAAAGTAATTAACTTTATAACTAACTGACTTTTTTTTCTTGCCACTGAATCTGAGGAAATAGAAACTTTCTGTGGAGGTTGATTGTAATGTCATTAGAGTCTAATAGTAACAGCAAGTAAAGAAATTCTTAAAGTGCCTTTATTGAAGAGTCACTGTGTTGGGCATCTCCCAGACCAGACTATTCCTGGGTACAGTGTTTTATTAGGAAGACTCACAGGACCCAGCATATTTTCATTCATAGCTAACATTTACTGCAGGGAAAGGATACAAAGCAAAATCAGCAAAGAGAAGACACATAGGGTGAAGTCAGGAGTTAAGAAACCAGGTGTAAGCTTCTAAGAGTCTTTTTCCATTGGAGTCACCCAGGACGTGCTAATCCCCCTATAATGAGTAATGACAACTGATTTTTGATTTAGTGCCCAGAATTTTTATTGGAAGCTGATTTTTATTGGAGGCTATATTCTTCCTGGTGCATAGCAAAATTCCAGACTCCCTAAAGGAAAGTAGGTGTTCATCATGAACTACATTTTTTATATAAACAGCTTAAGTACAGTGAGTCACTCTTAGGTGATCTGGGATTAGTGAGAACCCTAGCAAAATCCAAATTCCCAGATTCTGGTTATGGGCCTACCTTGCAAGCAGGGCTTTCTAAGACTAGCATTCTCACTACTGTTGTGTTACCTCCTTTCTGCATAGGTACCTAACCCAGACTTTGTCGATTAGAAAGTAATGTAAAGTATGTCATGCAAAATGAATACACATACATACACAGATATGTACTTATACATATATACATACACATACTTATGCCACACACATTGGTAGCACTACAAGGTTTAAATATAAAATTGGAGAAAATCGGGCAAAGCAATGAAATAGCAAAGCATGCACTGTGTGCTGATCACCTATTACCCCCCCAAATCAGTATGTTTGGCCTGGCAGTCCTTGATACGTTGTGAAATGAACTCTAGTAGTGGGTCTTTTGCCTTTGTAACCTGGAGTTACTTCCACAGTTCAGTCTCTGGTCTCAGTCTCTTTTTATTGTGTTAACTCAGATTTGCTGAGCTAGTTCTTGCTATGCTATATTTAAGGATGAGTGTGTGTGTGTATGTGTGTGTGTGTGTGTGTGTGTAAATGACCCTTTAGTGCCATCTGGATATGACTCTTTTTAGTCTATGTTCTGGCCCTCCAGGGCTCATTAAATATAAGCCCCCTGATTGGTGTCATGTTTTAGCAGTATCTGTGGCATTGTCTGAGAATGGGTGTTAACAAGGTCTGAGAAGCTGGATCTGGTGAAAGTGACATATTCCACACCATGATTGGGTCACATTAGGAACCACTGTTCCAGATAGTTGTGCAGGACTGTTTGAATCAATTTGTTTATTTTATAACTATGAAAAGGGAATTAGTTAATCTTGGTCCCTACCTTACTTTTTTTGCCTTTCAGGGTTGGATGCATTCATATCACATTCTTTGAAGTCTGTTATTCTCCTTGAGTACACTTCACATTGTCCTTTTCCATAGTGTTGAGCTCTTCATGAATTGCCATTTTGTCATCATACATTTCCTTTGGGCACAGTGGATGGTTGTCCCAGAACCACATAAACAAAGTCTGTGTCCAGTTTCATTTACATACCAGTGTCCTTAATCTAAGCAATATGAACTGCCTTTCTACATACTGAGGTCAAAGCAGGTACCCATAATGGGAAAAGAAAATGCTTTTCCTCTTCAAATTTATGCTATTCAAAAATCCTTCAAATATATATTGATAATAAAAGTGTAATATGCTAATTAGACTGGACAGCCGAACGACCTTCCGGATGTCCTTCTGGATGACCTTCCGGAGGAAGCTGGTCTGCACGGATTTCGTGCATCGGGCCTCTAGTATATTAATAATACAAATGAGCAACATGCAGTTCCTCCTCAATTTCTCATTGTTTTTTATTTTATGATTTCTGTGTGCCTAATTGTTCAGCCCTTGCAGAAGGTAGATATGGCAATTTGCAATTGGTAAATAATTGAAGACCACTGGATCAGCTAGACATGTAGAAGTTGTTAAGAAAGAGGCTGGTATAGTTGGCAAATAGTTCAAGTTTTACTAACAATATATGTCAAAAGTATTTTCATTATCCAGTCCATTACATTTATTTCATTTCCATGTGGGGTTTGAGTATGGATCCAGGAGTTATAGTACAAATGATAGCTGAACTTCATTGTTGGCTTTTTTTAGTCCACATGCTTACTAGTAACCTTAGTCAGGGTTGCTTCATATGGGCATATGTATTTGAATTAAGTTTGTGATTAATTGTTATATCTGTTTCTAGAGGGTGACTCTCCATGTGGGTATGTCTTTGTCAGACCAGTTGGATCTGGGAAGCCCAATGCTATAAACAGCCAGACCAGCCTTCCAGGTTACATTTGGCAAGATGTGAAGATATTTTTGATTGTCACAATACAAGAGTTCTATGCCAGGGACATCTTAAAATGCTCAGAGCATCTAGCAACAAATCATTTTCCAGCACAAATTGTCAATAGTGTTGAGGTTGAGAAACCCTAAGCTAGCTGACTGGTGTGACCCATGAATCTCTGTACTGATATTATATATATTTAAATATGTTTTTATTGATTTTTTAGAGAGAGAAAGAAGGGACAGGGATAGAGAGATAGAAACACAATGAAAGAAAAACATCATCGAACGGCTACCTCCTGCACACCCCCTACTGGGTATCGAGCCCACAACCTGTGCATGTAACCTAACTGGTAATTGAACCAGTGACCTCTTGGTTCCTGAGTCCACAGTCAACCAATGAGCCATACCAACTGGGCTGTACTGATATATTTTAGTTAGTCTCAGCATGGCATGAATATATCCTTATATACAATCACCCCAAATGTCCACATCTATTATACAAGTTGACCAAACAAAACAAAATATACTCAAGCCTGATTCAGTTTCAGAAACCAAGATAATAGACATGTAAGTTAAGACTTCCTCTGGAAAGAGGACAGGAGACCAAATCTTATACTTGTACCCAATCATTCTGTCTTCATAGTTCTCTAAACTACAGTAAAGGTTTTGTGTCCTGATGAAAAAATTGGCCGAAATTAACTCCAGCATAGGTTAACTCCAATGTAAATGAAGACTTTCTACAGTTAAGAATGTGTTGGACTTATAGTTCTACATCTCATATTTTCTAGAGTAGGATATGGGGCTTATAAACAAGCGTCTTTTTTTAGACAATAAGCCATTTACTTTGAATTTTTAAAATGTTATGTCCAAATAATACATGCTTACATAATCGTATAGTACATAATGGCAATGGTGTTGTGTCCTTCCCCTCCTCATTATTAGACCTACTAACTAGAGAAAACCAGTTACTTTTCAATTTTAATATTTTGTTGAAATATAAATGGATGTGTATCCTATATAATAAAGAGTTAATATGCTAATTAGACCAAACAGCAGAATGACCATCCAGATGACCTCTGGATGACCATTCGGACAACCTTCCGGACGAAGCCGGGGACTGCGAGGGCCCAGGCAGCGGAGGGCTATGAGGGCTGAGCTCCTTGCACGAATTTTGTGCATCGGGCCTCTAGTATATATTTAAGCACCCAGATTAAGATACAGAGCTTTATCAGCACTCCAGAAGAGCTCTTACTTACCACTCTCTCCAACAAGGATAACCACAGTCCTGACTAAATAGCATAGATAGGTTCTGCTTGTATATGAACGTTGCATAAATGAGAAGGAAAAAAAAGAGCAGCACCTGGTAACTGAGGGCTGGGAACTGACCTGGCTCTAATAGCTTGGCTATGGTGTTCTATTGAACGTAAAGCATTTCACATTTCTAACATTAGACATGTCACTCAATGCCCATAATCAACCATAATCAAGCCTGAGCACGAAAACAAGAATACTTTCCACATCACAAAAATAACCAAACATCTTTCTCTCCCAGCTAATTTGAGTGTCTTCTGCTTTGTTACCAATTATAACAGTCTTACTCGATTTCTCTCCTCTTCTAGATGAAAATTATTGATACCATTCATAGATTGTTTGCTCTTTCTGATGGCACTCATTCCCCAGCAAAATACACTTTCTTTGAACCATTCCCAAATCATCTAAGTCTAAATCCTATAACTAGCGCCTCAGTGCCTTCTTACTAAGGCAGTGCACATACTCTGGTTTCTCTTCAGATCGCATAAATCTTTTGCCTTTTACTAAGGCAGTGCAGTTTCCCATGATGATCTTAACTGCAAATGCCAGTAAACCTGAGCGGATGCTCTTTCAGCATTGGTTTTATTTTGTTTTGTTTATAGTGTATATTTTGTGCATGTCTCAGCTTTGGCTATGTTATTTTTTAGGTATTTGTCCATTCATCCAAATTGTCAAATCTATGTATATATTATATATATTGTCAAATATATGTAATAATGTCATATCTTTTTAATTTCTCTTGGTTTTGTAATGATGTCTCCTTTTCCTTGATAATGGTAATTTTTTCTTTGTTCCTTGATCAGTCTTGATAAGGTTTACTAATTTTTTACTAATTTTTAAAAAATATCAACGTTTAACTTTGTTGATTTTCTTTTTTTTTAATTGTCTAAAGTTTTACATATGTCTCCTTTTTCCCCAACAATTTTCTTTATTGTATTTTATTTTTTTCACATATACATGTCTCATTTAATTTGATAGAATATTTTCATTAACAATAATGAAAAATATATAATTGCTTATGCTTGAAATAATATATTCATATAATTTTTTAAAATTAAAGTGTAGTTGACATACAATATTGTATTAGTTTCAGGTGGTCAATGGTGAATTAACATCTCTATACCTTACAAAGTGATCATGACAAGTCTAATAACCTTTCATTATTGTACAAAGATACATTGACTATCTGATATTATTGATTATATTCCCTATGCTGTCCATTCCATTCCATGACTG